CCATTTATTAATAGATACTGTCGTGAAAAGTCTTTGGCTCACTAAATCAAAAGTATCATCTAGAAATAAAGAAAATTTTATTAATATCAAAGAATTTTCATAAAGTTTTTTTTTTTTTTTTCATTATTTAACTATATTTGTAAAATATTAACCTGGGAATGGTAACCCTTCTAACATATCATTGTGATGAATGAATTCAGCATTTGGCAATTCGATTTGTATACGAGCACGAGCTTCATCATCATCAATACCAATAAAGGTTGATGTCGGATACTCAGTAGCTAAATCTGTAATGAAGATTCCGGAACCACATCTAAAGTAAAAATTAATTACATTAATTTACATTTTTCATGAGTTCTTAACGCACTTAATACAGACAGGTATAAATAATAATAAAATACGCACTGAATATCCAACACTCTAACACCTCCATCAATAAATTTATCATGGATCGGTGACGAATAATTTCCTTCCCAGATGTATCTAAAAAGAAAATGTTGCATTTGTAATCTTATAACATCCTTATTAGTACTTGGATGGAAATAATCGCCCCTTTCTACATGTAGAATTTCTTCATCATCAACTGGTGACATCTGGTCATCATCATAAACATTTTTCATTCCTAAAACTCTTTTATTTGTCCATCGCGAACCATAGAACATTGTCAGGATACTCGAAATGTTAAGTATATAATAAATGGAAGAAAAAAGAAAAAAGAAAATTATAAATTTTAATGATGCGCGAATTTCATCATTTTATATTAGTTATATTAGATACTTATCTAAATCTTTGTGAAACAAACAATAAAATTCATTTAAAACATTTATGTATATATTAAATTAGTTTGTATGATAATCTATTAAGGACTTTTTAGGTATTTTGTGGCTTATTATTGAAATACCTCTTCTTGATTCATAACTATTTAATACATTAATTCAAATTTTAATACGTAAAAAAAACGTCATTTAATAAATTAAATGTAAACAATGCCAATGTAACCTCGGCCAAATA